GTTCTTTCCGAAAAGAAATTTATAAATGTTTTGAAATCATGTTCGATTGTGGTTTTTAGTGTATGCCACTGGTTGCTTTCATAGGGAATAGCTGTATCACCCGCAAAACCGATAACTTTACCTGTACTACTTATTTTGAAGAAATCGTTGATAAATAGATTAAATAAAATGGGTCCTAATACTGACCCTTGAGGTACACCGTATGATACAATATGGGGTTCACTGAATGTGTTATTAATTTTGACGCACTGTGTTCGATTTGACAAATAATTTTCTATAAGTTTGTATGTTATTCCTCGGAAACCTAAGTTTTCTAAAGTTGTTAAAAGCGATTCATGAGTAATAGAGTCGAATGTCTTTGCCAAGTTAACAAAAATACATGCCGTTGGTTTGCCAATATCGAGATTCGTGTATATTTTACTTGTTAATTTTACAATAGCATCTTGAGCAGATTTGCCTTCTTGAAAACCATATTGCTGTTCCGCTATTAAGTTATATTTTTTTGCAAATTCGGTGAATCGTTTTTTTAACACTTTTTCAAATATTTTAGAAAAATTTGTTAAGATGGAAATTGGTCGATAGTTGATGGGTTTTTCTCTTTTTCCAGATTTAAATAATGGTTTTACCATAGCGTGTTTTAAACATGAAGGGAATATTCCTTTATTCATACAAGAATTTATCAAATATTTCAGTATGCCGCAGATGTTGGAATTTATTCTCTTGAGAGTATATGCTGTTATATTATCTAGACCTGGAGATTTTCTTAATTTCAATTCATTGATTATTGTCTTTATTTCATGCGTATCGGTCGGTTCCAGATATAATGAGTTATATAATCTGGTCTTACTATAATTTAATTTCTCCGCGTTTTTTATGTTTTCTGACAACCTTTTCCCGATTATATATCGGTAACATATGATCAGAAAAATTAGAATAGTTCCACAATCTCGACACCCTGGGAACGAGGGTACAGAACTCTACAGAATTAGAACGAGAATAAAAAATCTGACCGATGTGCATCATCAATAACTTAGCGTCTCGCGCATTTTCGAAAAATGTCGTCAAGTAAGTTGACTCTGCACCTCCCACGCAACACTGCATTGTCATCAGTTCAGAAAAAATATAGCTCGACACAAGATAGCTACTCTTGGAAAAAATTAAGAGTTCGATTCTGTGATATCGCTACAGCGCTGTAAATCTTCATCATTTTTTTGTGAAATACATTAATCACGTGGTTTTATGAATACCCTATTTGTCTATTTGACAACCGTGGATGACGAAATCGTTATACACTGACGATTTTACGAACATACTTTGGTTAAACGTTAACGGCTTTACGATGTGGTTAATCTTGGTTGACCAAAATCGTAGCGTTGACTATTTTACGATATGGTCAATCTTTTATGACCAAAATCGTTAAACGTTGACGATTTTATGATATGATCAATCTTGGCTGGCTAAAACCGTTGAACGTTAACGACTTTACGATGTGGTTAATCTTGGATGACCGATATCTTAGCGGTGACTATTTTACGATATGGTCGATCTTGTATGATCAAAATCGGTAAACGTTGCCGATTTTACGATATGGTTAATTTTGGATGACCATAATCGTTAAACGTTGACGATGCTACAGCTTGGTCATTCTTGGATGACCAAAATCGTTAAACGCTTAACGTTTAACGATATGGTATTTTACAATGTGGTCTTTAACTTGCCATTTCGTGAAATGCGACTATTTAATGAAACGGCGATATAGGCAGCTGATGCGGTCCATTCACGATACTGTATTTTGTACGAATTCTAACAAGTTTCAAGGGCAAATGTACGGGAAATCTATGAAGTGAATTATGTCTATTACTTATAACCCTCACAAAAATGTTTCTGGAGATGATCAGGAGCTTCTAAAATGTCAAAAAACAAAGTTTGAGCGATTATTATTTTTTCCTCCTAAGCTTTTTCGTCCCTGAAATATTAGTAACCTTGCATGAACATTCCAGGCGATACTTTCAAAGTTATAGACGGGCCAAGGATTAGCGAACAAATAGACAGACAGGCCGACGGAAATGAGTAACATGATTTTGCATGACTTACATGTCATATAACATCCAAAAACATCTGTTTAGAATTTTTTCGCGATTACAGTACTTTCCCGCTAGTGGCGTAGAAACCAAAACAGAAAAATGATTTGGTACCTAACAACTAAAAAATATGAAAAGAAAAAGGTACTTACAATGGGATTAGAAACAGGTCTTGTAGGCAACAGGAAGTCTAAAAGAGGATGTCTAGCAAAAGTAACTTCGGTGAGGTTTCCAAAAGAAGGTCTAACATAGCCATGGATAGAGCTGGTTTCTGCCAGGGATTGCAACATATCAAGATAGGCTACCTGTTCGCATAGTGTGTAGAAAAGATGAACGTATTGCTTCACGTAAACTATTAATTTATGGACCAAGCTGAAAGCAAAACATACTGTAGGATATACAGTGCTTTCCAAAAAGGTCCCACTCCTTCCTATTTATTTTTTCAACGAGTCAACCCAGCAACCTGAAATTCTGGTTGATGAAATTGAAGCATGAATACAATCAATTCAATGTGAAACATTTTTATTTTATACAATATATCAACATAATACGTATGTGATGTCTTTGTCTTTGGCTTATTCAGGGTGATTCATAAGTCATAACCAAAAATGAGACATCATACACAGGACCGCATTTTAAGCGGGGTGTTCTAAGTAATATTTTTCCCCGAGGGCTTCATTAGAGAAATTCGGGGTGTTGAAGTTTAAAAATGAAAAAAAAAATTGTAATATTTTCAAAACCGTCAACTGGAATGTACTAAAATTTGATATGAGGATTTACTCAAGTATTGTCCACTTTCAAAAGTTTTTACTTAAAATTAACGTGCGCCAGTGGCGGAGATACATAGGATTAGTGGCATTATTTTTCTAAATAAAAATAGTATGCCACTGTTTTTTTAAACGCGCAATTTTTCGAATTTTCCTTCAATTTTCTACAAATAATTACTCTTGTATTTTTTTCTAGAGTGCCCTGTTTTCGTAAAAATAAAAATAAAATAAATTATCATGAAGAGCTGAGATACAATTAGTTTCAAAATAAAATAGGAGGCATTGATACCGACTTGACGTTTCTTAGGAGATAGTTTGTCAAAGTTATGTGTTATACGGTTGTTATCGTTGATACTTCCATTTTTTTTTGTAAAAGTCAGGTCAAAAGTTTTTTCCCCGTTTTTGAGTGTTGTGAAATGGAATTTAACAATGACGAGTACACCGATATTATTTTTGTGAACGGGTTCTGGAATGTAAATGCTGTAGAGGCTTCTCGAGAGTATCAACGTAGATTTTCTAACATACGCTATCCTACCACAAAGGTTTTTAGGCGTTCATTTCTAAGTCTTCGGGAATATGGGATTGCCAAACTTCCCGGAGTTAGAGGCCACGGTTTCCGGTAAAGTCTTGAGTAGAGAATTTTAAATCGGAAAGTTTCACATCCTTACCATGGGCAAAATGTGCAATGTCTGCAACCCGGCGATGAAGTGCAATGTCTGCAACCCGGCGATGAAGTGCAACGGCGAAATTTTTGTGAATGGTTAATGCAAATGCAGAATCAAAATGCAGATTTTACTGATTTGGTTTTGTGGTCAGACGAATCGCTTTTTACGAGGTGTATGACCTCTAATTCTCATAATGAACATATTTGGTCGTTAGAAATTCCCCGTTCTGGAAGAATCCACTCGTTTCAACACAGATTTTCTAGAAATGTCTGGTGCGTAATTTTCAGTGGCCAACTGGCCAACTGGCATACTTAGCTTTTCTAGAGAATTCCATAGAAAATATGTTAGAATATGTTCCGTTAGCAACGATAGTACGAATGTGGTATCAGCACGACGGTGCCCCACCGCATGTTCGTCGTAACATAACCGCATGGTTGAATGATCATTTTAGAAAACGATGGATTGGCAGAAACGGACCCGTACAGTGGCCTGCGAGGTCTCCTGATTTGAACTCTCTTGATTTGTTTTTGTGGGGCGCTTTGAAACAGCTAGTGTATTGAACAAGTTAATACTGTTGAACAAGAAAGGATATATAATTAGTTTCATCAAATACAAGCCACAACAGATTTTGCTGAAATACGTTTTTCTTTATTAAAAAGATGTCGCACTTGTGTCCGTCAGAGTGGTGGTCTTTTTATTGAAACAAGGCTTTGATTATCTAATTTGTTCTATTTTCATTTTTACGAAGAGTAATTATTTGTAGCAAATTGAAGGTAAAATTTGAAAAACTGTGCGTTTCGAAAAGAAAAACAGTGGCGTACTGTTTTTTATTTTTAAACTTATCTTTTTAATGAAGCCCTCGAGTAAAAAATATTACATAGAAGACCCCCATAAAAAAACAAAAATGTTGCTACTGTACATTCAATATATTTATTTCTTGAGGGGAAGGTGAAAACGAAGAGAAGGATATGAAGCATAGGATAAGATTTTTTTTATAAAAAATTATTATGGAATGTAATGACCAGGACGCTTGAATTTAGATGACTGGATTTGACATTGGCTGGCTGATTGGACGATCTGCTTTGGTCAAAATCTGCTTCACTGATTTGTCTTCTGCGGGAAACTTCTTATGCGGTTGCACGGACGTATATAAGGGGGGGGTTTTGGGGGTCCGGACCCCCCCATTCATATCCACCTTACTTGTCCAACAGAAAAAAATTACATGCACCGCGCCGATTGTAATAAACGATAGTTGCTGTGGAGCGTGTCCGTAGGGCGAGTATCGGAAAACGCGATGCGTATGCCCGCGTAGTGCGGGGTGAGGGGGGATGGGCACTTCCCCCGCCACCGTCGCCCGCGCTTCGGCGGCGCGCACCAAACCAAGCTAGTCTAGTAGTCTAGTCCACAGAACTGTCTAGTCTATTTTATCTCTTCGCGTTGACGCGTTGCGCAGTTGTTATAAATACAATATAGAAAGAAGTGTCGCTATGAAACGAACAAATCAGGTATCTCTTTTGGGTTTTTTTTGTAAGAAAGAGAGTCCAAAGCCCAATGAACTTTTGTCAATTGAAGAAGTAGGAATAAATAGAGCGGGGCCATCCACAGATACTGATGACGATGAAGTGAAGAAAGGTAAGTCTCTTATTTATTTAATTAGGAAGAAATCCAGTTATTTGAATTTAATAGACGCTCTAAAAACTTTTATCCTGCTCTTATTTTTATTCCCAGAGAATTTTTGTAAACAATTGTGTTGCCGTGAGCATAAAATATTTGACAAAAATGGTAATTTCAGTGTATATGCGGAATGTACCTAAGTGTCATAAAATCATTTCGCCTTTTAAGAGAAATAGAATTATATTTAACAACTAAGTGGCGCCCGCGACTGTGTTCGCGTAGACTTAATTTTTAGTTGAAAATTCTTATTCCCAACATAACTTTTTAGTTTTTGTCAAATATTTCTTTGTTACAGCCAGGATCGATTTGTGTTCGGCTCCGTCCGCAGCCGCAGCCAGGACGGGTTATGATATTGGGAAATACGTATGTCATCCTCCAAGCAATGACGAGGAAAAGCTGAGAGCATTAAAAGAGCCTTGGATTCCTCCGGACACATTTAAATTTCCAGTCACTGACACCGGTAAAAAGAAACTTTCTTTTCAACGCCATTGGACTAACAGGTACTCATGGCTTGTATATTCAAACCTCATGCAGGGAGCACTTTGCAAAGTATGTGTTCTACTTGGAAAAACGCAAGGTGGTCGTGGTCATCAAGAACTTGGAGCCTTTGTTAGTAAGCCATTTATTAACTGGAAGAAAGCTTTAGAGAGCTTTGATCACCATGCAGATACGAAGTATCACAAATTTGCTGTTGAGCAGGCAGCAAATTTTGCAAGGATCATGGAAGGAAAAACGCTTGATGTTACAGAATGCTTAAATGTAGAAAACAATAAAATTGCCGAAGAGAACAGAAAAAGATTAAAAGCCATTGTTGAAACAATTATTCTTTGCGGAAGGCAAGCAATAGCACTAAGAGGAAGTCATGATTCTGGAGAAATTGGGATAAATGAGCCTGAACATAATGATGGTAATTTTAGAGCACTTCTTCGTTTTCGTGCGCGATCTGGCGATGAAGCACTCAAGAATCATTTACTAACACAAAACATTCACAGTAGAGCCATGTATACGTCATCAGTAATTCAAAATGAGGTGATTGAACTATGTGGTAGTGCTATTCAAACGCAAGTACTTAATAGGGTCAAAGAGGCTGTTTTTTTTACTATACTTGCTGATGAAACACAAGACATTTCACGGCGAGAACAATTAGCGTTATGTTTACGATATGTACACTGCTCATCTGGGAAATCGGTTATACGGGAAGATTTTTAGAATTCATTCACGTAGAAGATGTTTCAGCTCAAGCTTTGGCAACGACTATTATATCACATCTTTTATCATATAACTTGGATATGGATAAATGGATTGGTCAAGGCTATGATGGCGCTGCAGTGATGAGCGGCCGGTTACGGGGCGTAAGAACAATAATCTCAGAGCAATACCCGAAGGCGCAATTCGTACACTGTGTTGCTCATGTTCTTAACTTAGTTTTAGCGCATTCATGTGAGATACCAATGATACGTAACTGTATCGGAACCATTAAGAGCGTAATAAACTTTTTTCGCCAATCACCGCTTCGCGACGGACTTTTGAAGAAAATTGCGGATCAAATTAACTCATCTCATTCAACGCTTATCTCTCTTTGTGAGACAAGATGGACCGAGAAACACGTGGCTGTCGAAAGATTTGCAGAAATGGTTCCCGTTATACGCGAAACACTTGGGGCACTTCAAGATGCTGCAAGCAGCGACGTCGCTACTCAAGCATACCATCTTCAAACCGCTATGGATAACAGCCAGTTTATTGTTTCTTTAGTTATACTGAGAAAAGTTTTTTCATATACAGCAAACCTTAACAAAGCAATGCAGAAAGTCAATGTCGATTTGACCAACATTTGCGAATATACAAAAACGGTAAAAATACTAAATGTTCGGAACGAAAGTCAGTTTGCAATCCTTTTTGAGCAAGCGCAGCAGATGAGTTCAGGCGATATAGTCGTGCCAAGAATAACTGGAAGGCAAACCCTGCGCAATAATATTGCAGCAGAAACTGCCGAAATATACTACCGACGAAATGTGTTTTACCCTTTCATTGATCATGTTATTGCAGAACTCGACGCTCGTTTTAAACCACATGAATCGACGATCGAAGGAATTCAAATGCTGTTACCTGAAAAAACTAGTAATGACTCCAGGATAAAAGAAAATCTTGAAAAAATTGCACAAACATTTCTTGGTGGAGAAAATGAAGGCACAATATTTCTGAGTGAATATGAGATATGGCACAATCACTGGAAATCTGTAGCACAAAAACCTGCAACTGTGCTTGACGCTATCGATAACTGCGATGATCAGTCCTTCCCTTCAATAAAAAAGCTTCTAATTATCTTAGCCACACTCCCAGTGTCCACTGCAACCCCTGAAAGATCTTTCTCTACCTTAAAGAGGTTAAAAACTTACCTAAGAAATAAAATGGGCGATGAAAGACTTACTGGTCTGGCTTTAATGAGCGTACGCCGAGATCTGGCGGTGCAACTAGATTCCGAAGAAATTATCAATCAGTTAGCAATAAAACGTAAAAGACTAAATTTATTATTTTAAAGTTTCAACTTTGTTACTTTTGAATAAATATTGCAATACATACATTAAACTTTTTATTTAAAGGCACCTACCTAAGTAACCTGAGTTATATATTATAGATTACCCGCGACTATACTTGCGTGTTATAATCGAAATGTTTAATCTGTAAGTAATAGATCCAATTGGCGTTAGAGCTCTGTTTTTTTTCACTTTGGGGACCCCCCCCTTATCAGAGCTATAGCTACGTCAGTGTAGCGGTTGGTTCAGGCGTGTTGCCACACTGACCTTTTATAACATCTCCCAAAGTATATCATCTAGGACGCAGTAGGGAAACTGCATAGCTCTTTTACATACCCTCTTAAGGCCACCTCTCTAATTTATGAATGCCACTTTTGTTTCTGCGAGAGAGCAGCAAGTCCATATGTTGTACCGAATAGACGCATGCTTCAATTATTTTCATTTTGACTTTGAAAGAAACATTCAAGCTGAAGTTGGAGTTGGAGACAGAGTGTAAGCAGCTGTATTAGCTTTTTCTAGTATTTCTTTAATGAGACCGTCTGTGTTTACTGTTTTATCAAGATTGAGCTCACGGTATATATATTTATATCTTATTTGATTGAGGATTCGTTTTGTACTTTTTCAAACCGGTCCTTTCGTTGAGGAGCGTGAACAGTAATTCTTGGTTAACAGTAAAATGTTTTCCAAAACGCCTAAAAGCGCCCGGAGAAAATATTTCACAATGAACAGGGATAATACTATAGTAACATGCAAGTACTGCCCGAAGGAATTAAAAACAAGTGGTAATTGCTGGTATTCAAGGATGGACCTTTGGGGCTCAAGCCTAATCGTTTTCTCATACAGGGTGTTTTCAAAGTTGAATCATTTATTTTAACTGTTTGTAGGACTCGTCAAAAGGAGTTGATATACCAAAAATCACCTATATAAAAGTTGCATGATAAAAAAAATAGTAAAAGATTAAACATTAAAAATAAGAATGTTGTTACACAGGTTTTTTGATATTTTTGACCACTGCCATGTAGAATCTTAGCGTTTTTTGTTTACTACTCTTATGGTTTATCTAAATTTGGAAATCTTTTTGTGTTATTGTATGGTTTTCAGTAGGAGTCTTTGGTTCGATCAGTTGGATCAGTCTTTTAATAGTGCGTATACTTTCAGTTGTCTGATTATTTTGTGCGAACAAATGGCCCATGTTTACGAAAACAGTGAACTAGTGGGCATAACACTAACATTTGGAGAGGGTTAACAAAATGCAGCCGCAGCAGAAGTTTCCTTTAAGAAATCATCCGGTCCCACGGATGTTTGTAAATTTAGTTATTAGGTTAAGGATACTCAACCTGAAATATTACAAATTGAGGAAGACATTTTATGAATGGTCGAAGACGGCCCAACAATGAGTACTAGAGCCATAGCAGCTCAAGTTAAAGTTTCCCATAGTAAAGTGTGGAAGACAATTCCACAAGAACAGCATTATCCATATCATTATCAACGAGTACAAGTGTTACAACCTGAAGATCATCCTAGAAGAGTTGCACTTTGCCTGTCGCTTTTAGAACAGTTAGACAGGAATGAAGATTATACGAAATTAATTTTATGTACAGACGAGGCCACATTCACACGAAATGGAGTGCACAATTTCCAGAGAACAATCATGTTTGGGCAGTAGAAAATCAGCATGCTCTAAAAATAACTTACTTTCAACATATATTCTCATTAAATGTTTGGGCTGGCCTGGTAAATGGAATGCTTATTGGACCCTACTTTTTTTCCTCGACTGATGGTGAATTTTATTTAGATTTTCTTCGATACAATCTGCCCCAACTATTAATATGTATTAATATGAATATGTAGTTCCTACATGATGGGCCTCCACTACACTGTAGACAAGAAGTTCATGAACATCTAAATAATGAGTTTCTGAATAGATGCCTAGGGCGCAATGAACCCATTTTTTCGCCTGCTCGCTACCCGGACTTAACACCTTGCGATTTTTTCTGTGGGGCTATTTGAAAGAGTTGGTGTATCATGATGGAGCAGTAAATACTCCGAAAGGACTTCAACAGCGCACTGAAAATGTTTGTGATTTAATTCGTGGACTTTATTTTCGAAGCTTGTAAAGAGTCGTGGATTTGGCGAGCACGATTTTGCGTTAATCGAACAACTGGAGACAATTTTGAACAGTTTTTTGTAAATACGGTATCCATTTAATTTTATAATGTTTTTTTTAATAATCTTTAATAATGTAAGCTAACTCTCTTATTATGCAACATTTATATAGGTGATTTTTGGTTATCAACTTCTTTTGACGAGTTCTACAAGCTGTTAAAACAAATGACTTGACTATGAAAATACCACCTCTTGCGAAATGGTCGGATCCAGCCCTGAGCAAATTAAGAATATGTTTTAACCCCCCCCCCCACTATTCAGCTTTCAATCGCCGATACCTCCCACCGAGCCGGACATCTTCGTGAACATAAATCCCTTTCATGCGATTCAATGTACAAAAAATGGCATCAAGTAGATGGACTCTGTAATCTCTACACAACGCCGTCATCAGTTCATAAAGGTCAAAGTGGCCCATACAATTAGTCGATAAACATTCTTTCCATGCCCTACCGGTAGTTACTGTTCATCTGGTGGTCCCTTTCCACATCTGCGCCGTATCGCCACGCGCGGCATCGCTGCTCCGAGTTATCGTCTCACTTTTGCATGGTCCATGTATATATACAGGTATATATATATATATGTATATACAGGGTGACTTTGAAGTTGAGTCATTAATTTTCAGATAATGATTGTAGAAGGAAGATAAACCAAAATATGTGTGTAAAAATAAAAAAAAAATGTTACCTTGTTTTATAAAGTATCCTCCCGACAAGTATTTCAGTGCGGACCTGTATTTGTTCGTGCGGTCTTGGAGCACCGGCATGCCCTCCCCTGTGTGAGGTCTTAAGTCACCTGATTCACGAGCCCTTTGTACTACATTAACAAAGGCACGAGGGGTTGGTTGCACTCGATTGGGAAACTGATCCGCATAAATCCGTGATGCCGCGGCAACATGTGCCCTTTTTTATTTCGTTTGAGCCACGCAACAAACACCACTATTCACTCACGCGTTACCGACTGACACATTGTCTGAATACAACTGAATAAAATAAATGAATAAAACATCGTGATAAGCGTTTCAAATTCTTTCGCTTTTTTGTTTCCGATGCGATGAACCGATAAGGCGGATTATATCCGTTGTCGCCAAACACGAGCACATAATATTATTATTGAGACAGGGCGGTACTCAAACTTCTAAAGGGCTATAACTTTGTTACTTTAATTTTACCACAAAAATGTTAAAGGAAAAAAACATTTCTTTTGATCAGATCTACTCACTGCTAAAGTAAATGACTCAACTTCAAAGTCACCCTGTATACAGGGTGGCGCATCGAAAACGAAACAGACGCATTAACTGGCAGCTTAGTTTTTTTTTGGAAAAACGCTCAGACCCGTCGATTTTGTTTTCGAGGGGGACACAAGATTGGCAAAAAATCACGTTAACACGTGCAGCCTCCTGGGCGGGGGTGACACCAACCCTAAAATCTTAAATGGAAAGGGAGATCGAGTGATACCTTATTGTAAAGGTCTTTTAATTACCTTTATAATGATGTAAAATACATGAGCTTCAGTTCAGTAGTTTTGAAGATTTATTGATTTAAAGCTTAAAGTAGACTTTAGTAGGTACATCAGATTAGTTTGTACTACTTTCAGAAGAAATTTGACTAAAAGAATTTACTTAATAAGTAAATGCTTTTCTTCACTACGCCCATAGTTTGTTTATCATTTTGTTGTTAAAAATAGCTATTGGAGCGTTTTTTGTGGCAAAAAACTTAATTCTTGAAGAAAGGTAAGGAAATATCTCGTACCTATTTTAAATAGGAATCTAGTACATAGTTTGCGATTGATTTGACCAAACTTTGTTGCTAAAATAACTTGTAACGCTTTATTTCATAAATTAACCATGGTATATTCCACAGCAGAAAGAGTTGAAATTATCGAAATATTTTTCGTAAATAATCAGTGCGCTAATAGAACAGCAGAAATACTTAATGAGCGACATGAGAACAGTAACGTGCATCGAAAATATGCTCTAGAACTTGTAGCTAAATTTCGGGAAACTGGATCAGTCGCCAATAAAAAACGCAACATTGAAAATCCCATAAGGAACGAAGCAATAGAAGTGGAGGTTTTAGGGCAAGTTTATGTAGATCCTACGTTAAGTACCAGCAAATTGGAGACTGTGTGTGGTGTTAGTCGACGTACTGTCCAACGGATTCTAAAGGCTCATCGTTTTCATACGCATAAAATTCACTTGGTACAAGAACTTAATGTAGACGATTTTGATCAGCGATTACAATTTTGTGAAGATATGATTGAACGAATGATAAACGATGAACACTTTCTACTCAACACTTGCTTTTCCGACGAATGTTCGTTTTTCTTAATGGCGTAGTAAATCGTCATAACTGCCGATATTGGTCCGATTCTAATCCCAGAATTTATCATGAGGTTCATACACAGCAGGCACAAAAATTAAATATTTGGGCTGGTATTTTTGGCGATCATTCAGTTGGTCCTTTTTTCTTACCTGGAAATTTGACCGGTGAAATGTATTTGGAATTACTGGAAGACGCCATAGATCCTGCATTAACAGCCATAATTGAAAATCAGAATGATCGGCGGTACATTGCGAATAGGTTGATGTTCCAACAGGATGGTGCCCCACCACATTACGCATTACGTGTTCGAGAATATTTAGATCAGACCTTTCCAGATCGATGGATTGGTAGAAGAGGTGCCATTGAATAGCCCCCAAGATCGCCAGATTTATCACCTTTGGATTTCTTTATGCAACGTCATTTAAAAAGCAAAATATATGCTACTCAGCCAACATCATTAGAAGACCTGCTACAAAGAATTGTGAATGAGTGCCTTCAAACTACTCCTCAAATATTGCAAAATGTGCGGCAACGTTTTGAGCAAAATCTTTATTATTGCATGGAGAGTCATGGTGGCCATTTTCAACATTTACTTGCCTAACGGGTCAGTTCATTCTTCATTTTTAAATTACTTTGCTGCCAAATGTATTGATCTCCACTAATGATGATGTATTAGTTTTTTTTAAGCTTTAAATCAATAAATCTTCAAAACTACTGAGCTGAAGTACATTAATTTTATATCATTATAAAGGGAATTGAAAGGCCTTTAAAATAAGGTATCACTCGACTCCCCCATTTCCATTTAAGATTTTGGGGGTGGTGTCACCCCCGCTTAGGGGGCTGCACGTGCTAACGTGATTTTTTTCCAAACTTGTGCCCCCCTCGAAAACAAAATCGACGGGTCTAAGCGTTCTGTTTCGTTTTCGATGCGCCACCCTGTATATATATATATTAACTTACTTTTATAAGCTTGGCCTGTATGTATGTATACTAAGTGACATATAAATCCGAACACCCAGTTTAAATGGTTTTATTTTAATAAAAGTTGGTGAATGTATTTATCTTACTGTAAATAACAAGTGAAAAAATTTTCAGCCTTATCAGTTGGACATTCCGGTTTTTATACTGCTTTTTTTTAATTCACTAACGCTCTAAAAATGAATATTTCTACCGTAGTAAAGAATCAACGTGGGCGGATTTTGGTTCTTGACATCCTTTACGATCGGTTACGATGCCTAGAGTACGGAGACCTGTACGATTTCGTCAACTTAGTGAGTTTGATAGGGGCCGTATAGTGGGACTTCGGGAAGCTAGACTTTCTTTTCGGGCAATTGCAGTTAGAGTGCAAAGAAGTGTAGAAACTGTGGTTAGGTGTTGTCAGGCATGGCTTCGAGAAGGCCGTACGCAAAGAGCAAGGGGCACTGGACGCCGCCGTAGAACAACAGACCGTGAAGATCGCCGCCTAAGATTATTGGCCTTAAGGGACCGTTTCTCCACTACCAGGTCCATTGCAAATGAATGGTTTGCAGAACACGGAAGACCTATTGGCATGCGAAGTGTTTACCGACGAATGAGCAGTTTTGGCTTGTTTTCATACCGGCCACACTGGGTCCTCCCTTTAACTCGAGAACACCGACGTAATCGCCTTGAGTGGTGCAGACAACGGTCACTCTGGGATCAGGAATGGAACAGTATTGTCTTTAGTGACGAGTCTCGATTTTGTTTAGGCATGCACGATGGTCGTGCCAGGGTTAGAAGGCGACGTGGTAAAAGGAGGAATGCACAGTTATTTGTTGAATGACATGTTCATCACACTGTTGGAGTTATGGTTTGGGGTGCTATAGCTTATGGTTCCAGGTCACTTTTAATCTTCATCAGAGGTAACATGAACGCGGAGCGTTATATCCACGAAGTTCTAGAACCCCATCTTTTACCCTATCTTGACACCCTGGCAGATCCAACTTTCCAACAAGATAATGCCCGACCACATGTTGCAAGAGTCACAATAGACTTCTTTCAACATAATGATGTCACATTGTTACCATGGCCACCAAGATCTCCCGACTTATCCCCAATTGAGCACGTGTGGGATATGATGGGTAGGAGATTGCTCAATTTGCAACGTCCTCCTCAGACTCTAGAAGCACTTCGAGAGGAGTTGGTGGTTGCCTGGAATGAGATACCACAGGAGGACATTGACCACCTGATCAGAAGCATGCCTAGGCGCGTTGGAGAATGCGTAGCACATCAGGGTGCATCCACACATTATTAAAGGTCAAAGGGCTTTAAAGAAGTGCAATCATTTTGAAATTTTTATCATTTACTTATTATTACGTACTTCATTAGGTACTTATACAAAATTTTATTAAAATAAAACCATTTAAACTGGGTGTTCGGATTTATATGTCACTTAGTATATGTATTTATGTAACGGGATTTTTGAGCATAATTATCACCAATTCTCAGAAGTTTGACTAATTTGAAACTTCGCACACATATCAAGGACCGATGACAATGCAATAATTTGATAACAGTTTTCCTTAGTAGGACCGCCAGGATTGATAAATTCTTTTATAGATCCTCTGTAGGGGAGTAAAAGAGATAGAGCTAGCGCGCGATCTGCGTATGCGTGCAGTTTCGGACTTACTCTTTGTCGGTTAGGGCACTCATCATGGCACAACGGAGGCAGATACGTTTTCAAGGTAGTGTATTCTCACCTTGTTCATTCCTTATACATGCGTAGGTACTAATGAGCCTAATACACACGAATTACTACTCTGACGACATCCCGCCAGTCCGTATCGATTTCGGTTCAGATGGTGATGATTAAACCGATACTCGTATCGATACAGTTCCCAGCGAAATACAGCTGTGGAACTGCTGAGAGACAAATGTTGCCATTACATTAATCCTGAATCGGGCTTCGACCCTCCACAAGTTGCAAGGTTGTACAGTCGACCATGCAGTCATTTATCTAGGCTCGCGACTGTTAGCAGCTGGTAGCAGATCTTTAGACGGTATTCGGATTGAAGAACTTGATTGCTTTAAGTTAATAGGAAAAATCCCAGGCAACAGTAAAGCTGATTAGATTACGAAATGATTCGTAAGATATTTCGATACCACATGTCTACAAAAAACTAATTGATAAATCGAACTAAAAAATGAAAAATAAATAATAGTTTAAAAAAAGTAAAAAGACACGCTTTTATAGTTAACCGCACTAAAAAGTAGAAAATAATTTTTAATTACAAAGAGTTTATATTACTATTTTCATCTGCAAAATTGTAATAGTAGCATAACTAGTAAATCTAAATTTCAAAATGGAGCATTTGAATTCAATAAATTGAATAATGATATTAAACAGAGTTCGAATTCTAAAAATGTTTAAGGTGAAATTATAAAATCAGTTTATGAATAATCAAAATACATAGTGACGTAATTTTAATTTTAATAGACAAGAATACCAAATTGACTTTGTAGCATTAATGCTAAATAAATCTTCAACAACAACAACAACAACTGTGATAGATGGTCGAACAATCAAGCATAATTAATGACCTCAAAATAAAATTATAATAAAATTTAAGTTATTAATAGAACAATTCAATTCAGAGGAGTAAAAAGCGTGGGGTGCTAGATGTATTAAATGTTACGAACAGTATATTGGCAACTATCTATGAGAGGAGATTTATGAAATTGTATTAAAATGCATGATTTTTACTATGAATTGAATTATGTAAAAAATTATGTAAATAACTTAAATTTTATTATAATTTTATTTTGAGGTCATTAATTATGATTGATTGTTCGACCATCTAACATACTACTGTAAAATAAACTCTTGTAATTAAAAATTATTTTCTACTTTTTAGTTAGGTTAGCTATAAAAGCGTGTTTTTTAGTTTTTTAAACTATTATTTAATGCGCTGCAATACGGATAGATGTTTTGTGGAATAGATTAGTCAGCCGGAGCGGTATGCCGGGCGGCGAGCTTAGATAGCAGAATGTACGTGGATATCTATGATGTGTGAAAAATGGCTAATAGGTGGGTTGAATCTGCACTTTCTAATCATCGCCTCCATCAGTTCATAAAGGATTAAGTTCAGCGCAATTTAAATGGTCTGAGAAAATATTGAGTGACGGATATGTAGAACAGAGAAATTAAACGTATTATCAGTCAAAAAAGCGCATACAATTAGCCCATAGACATTCTTTTCCTGTCCTACTGGTAATTATCGACCATGTGGCAATATTGTCCCTTATGACATATCTACGCGGCATATCTTCAGCGAGGTATCTTTCGGTTCGTGCAAGCTCCGTATGTTTTTTGGGCTCCAGTACGAATACATATAAAAGCTGGACTAGTTCACCAGGCGGTTGGAAATCTATGATGTGTAAAATATGGCTAACAGGTGGATAGAATTTTCTGGGTTGGAAGCGTATAAATCTACCAAGATCAACATTTTTTCATTTACATTACTTCCTCGCCAAGTGGCGTAGGGAGTAAAACGCTCATTTCTGACAGCCTACCAGTCGGCGATTTTGAAGGATAGTTATTTTATGTTTTTACTTTAAAAAATGTCATAACGAGCGTTAAAATGAGATATCACATGACCCCCTTTACATTTAAAGAATGTTCCAAAATTGCTCCTAGCCCCCATCTTCCAGCTATTATTTTTACGCTAAAATATAGTATTCATGCATCAATTTTTTTATTCTGAATTTCAGCTTGCGAAATTAACCGGTACAAAAAATAAGTGAGGTGTGTGTGTGGGCTTGAAAAGGACTGTAAATATTTCTACTCAGTGAAAAAATTCCACCATTTCTCCTAAATGTAAATATTTGGAAAAACATAGTAACGTTAGTACAAATCAGTTAAAAGCTAGTTAATTAAACAGTTACTGTAGCATTTCTAGATAACATGTGACAATACTTACACATCACTGATTTTTAATATGTCAGTCATAATGTCGTCCAATCTTGTCGAATAATTCACTAATTCAGGCGTTTTCATGGTGAAGCTCCCAACTAATCGCTGAACCTGAAAGAAACAAAGAATTGAAAAGAAGAAATGGCGTCATCAGTTCATAAAGCATTATGTTTGACACAAGTTAGCCTTTCTAAGCAAAAAGTTAGCTACGAACATGTATAACAAATGAGAGGAATTACTGCTGGCGCACATGATTGTTACGATGACTGACCAAGCGTAAATGACGATATTGACCTTCACCATGCACAGTGCATACAGCGTAGCCCACAGCATCACAGACGCTTGTCCATCCCGGGCACCACGTCGCACCCGACGACCCCACTGAAGGGAATATTTGTAGATGTTAAAGGTAAATGTGCTGTCGCACATATGATGAGTGAAATTAGTCTAATATGTGCGTAGAATCACTGTGGTTGAAGGCAGATAAATATACCAACGACAAAAAATTGAAATATACCCTCCGCCATCCGTTACCCCTAACCCATAATTTTTAACCCCATCAAAGTTTTTTTCCGAAACTGGTCAGGATTGCCCGAAACGTCGAAAAACGAAGTTTGAGCCATTTTCTGTTTGTTTGTGGCATCTCTCTCTCCGCCGCCTCTGGACTGATTTCCAAAAACTACAAAGCTTTTGCGTTCTTGGCATAGTAAATACAACACCTAACCCCCAATGTTTAATCCCTACAAAATTTCTTCCGAAAATGATCAGGAGCCTCTGAAATGTTAAAGAAGTTTGAGCGATTTCTATTTTTTTGTCTTTTGTCGCGTAGCTTCGCCGCCACTGGACCGATTTTCAAAGACTAGAAAAAATTTTCGTCCTTGACATAGTAGTAATATTTCAAAATTGAGGAACGGGAAGTGAGATACGTTTAAGCGGGCGCACGTCCCACAATTCAAGTCTAGCAGGGTAATTTTTCCACTAGGATTCAGCAATATACAGCGAAAGGTTGGGAAATCTCGAAACTGGAGATACTACAGAACAAAATAAGTTAATTGACCTAGACATGCCTCAGTCCAAAAGTTGGTAGTTTGCGAGAAATAGGGTGTCAAAGTTACAATTTGATTTTCTGTTTTTCCTTATTGCTTGAGAAGTATTTCAGATTTTGGCATAAAACTCGGTATAGGGTGGTTCTCTAGTATGAAAAACAAGAATCCGTTATTTATTTATGTCCAAACATGTTTACGTGTTAGAAGTGTCTAAAGCTAATAGTTCTCGAGATATTTGTTTTTAAAGCATTACATCTTGCCAATCCGTACATTAAATGTATATCAGAATATTCATCAAACCATGATCCATGATGTTTAACAACTTATTGTCAACTTAAGATTATTCATGAAGTTCAAAGCTATGTTATGACAAACATTAGAAACCATATCAACGCTACTCAGATATTATTCAAAGCAACTTGATTATTATGTTATAAGAATGCTTTATCATCATGGTACATATATTGCATTGGAACTTTTAAAAACAAATATCTCGAAAACTATTAGCATTAGACACTTCTAACAAGTTAATCTTTTTTGTTGTTGATATGAGAACACAAAATTTTTTGGTCAATTGTTGTATACAGGGTAGCACAAAAAAGTTATGATTAGTTATTTACCGAAATAGTGCTGTAAGTTTGGCCATAAAAAAATAACGGATTCTTGTTTCTCATTCTAGAAAACCTCTCTATAGTTAGATTTATGCCAAAATCTGAAATACTTTTCAAACAATAAGGAAAAATAGAAAATAAAATTGTAACTTTGACACCCTGTATCTCGCAAACTATCAACTTTTGGACTAAGGTATGTTTAGGTCAATTCACATATTTTGGTCTGTAGTATTTCCAGTTTCAAGACTTCCCAACCTTTCGCAGACTATGGGAGGAGCGCATATTTCTTCATTTGCCTCAGGGCGCACAAAACTCTGGAGCCGGCCCTGCCTGGATACCACATGGAGGCATGGTTTACAGTCATAGAAACCACCTGTCGAAAGTATTTTATGGCAAAAGGATCTTTTGTGAAGTGAATACGTTACCTAAAATTACGTTTGTGACATTTCTAAGAATGTGGTATTTCATCTTCTGCTTTATATCCTTTATTATACGAAAAGACTTTGTCAACATTACCAGGGATTTTGAAGTATGAACATTCGAATAGATCTGAAATTTGTTGTGGTAAAAGTTTTTATCGTATAATAAAAGTAAATAATAACTAATAGAATTACCGCCAAATAAAATAAGTGAAATAAAAATCAAAAATGATATATACTAAAATTCAGCCCAAGTGAGACCACAACATGGCAAACTCGAAGCGTGATCAGCGCGTGATCGATGTTCCCGCAGAGGGTCTCATTATAGCTCAGGCATTTTACGGTTTGAAGTTGTAGTTTGAAGCGCTTGCTTTTTCAACTAATAGTTTCATTTCGTAGCTTTTATTTTTCTTTCCAAATTAAAGAAATAGATGATGCTGACAGACATGCGATCAGAATGAAGGTTCATGAATTCTTTTTCCAGAATGAAATTCCTACAATTAATAAGATTTTGAAAGTAGTGAATGAAGACTCAGATTTGCCGAATTTTAGTAAAACGACGTTCTACAGGCTATTAAAGGAACTCAACTTCAATTGGCAGAAGAGAGGCCGAAACAGTTCATTGATGGATAGAGATGAAATTATACTATGGAGGAGAGAGTATTTGACAAAAATAAAAACATACAGGAGCCAAAACCGTAGAATTTACTTCCTGGACGAGACGTGGATAAATGCTGGCCATACAAAATCAAAAGTTTGGGTGGACCAAACAGTAACGTCAGCAAGAAGAGCGTTTTTAGATGGGCTTTCAACTGGGCTTAAAAACCCTACAGGTAATGCAGACATTCCATTTTAGAAAATCCAACAATAGTTATTAGATAATTTTTCATAGCCAAAGTGATTTAAATGAGGCATTACACGTTATCAGATATCTAGAAAAAACGAGGGGATGTTCACTCTGGAAATCAATGTATTCTACGTTGGAATTCTTATGGTATCGATGACAAGATTTTTTACAGCAATGCGAGCGTTGCAGAGACAACATACCTCGTCCGTCACGGAATGTAACACGTTAATTAACAACGTCAGACATTGCGTTGATTTGTAAATTTTTCGATAAGTTTGTCACACTTGATAATTTTTTAGTTTAATTGATGTTGCCTGTTTCTTTTTGTTTTTTAAACTGACCAGATTCATCAACAGATTAAATGATGCATTGGTTGAAGTGTCCGATATATCTCACCGCATGCATCCCGCTATCATGAGAAACAATATAGCATCGTATATAAAATACAGAAATGTGTCCCTATCTCCGTGGCCTCAGTACTCTTGTGAAAGACATATAATGTACATCCGTATTTAACAAGTTTTATCTTTATAGGCAAAGGAAAAAGGCTCATTATTTGCCACATCGGGAGTGTAGATGGCTTCGTGAAGGAAGGACTATGGTGTTTTGAATCAAAAAAAACCACTGACTACCACGAAGAGATGAATGGTGAAGCATTCGAAAACTGGTTTTTAGGCATTTTACCACGTCTTAAAGACAATTATGTGGTGGTCCTGGATAATGCTCCGTATCATTCTCGGAAATTAGAAAAAATTCCAAATTCATCTTTTAAGAAATCAGCGATACAGGACTGGCTACGTGCAAAAAATATACCTTTTGATACGTTTATTTGAAATTACAACTTCTAGATCTTGTGAAACAACACAGAGCAAAATATGATAAATATGTAGTGGACGAGATGGCAAAAGCGCACAATAAAATGGTACTTCGTTTGCCTCCTTACCACTGTGAGCTCAACCCCATTGAGCTCATATGGGCAGATATAAAGAATTTTGTTGCTGAACACAACACAACATTCAAGTTTTCCGACATGAAAGAGCTGTTCAACCTTGCGTTGCAGAGAATCACACCAGAAAAATGGTTAAAATGTGTGAAGCATGTTCAGGAGAAAGTGGAGGTTGCAATGTGGGAGCTAGACAACATAATTGAAAGGCATATTGAACCGCTAATTATCAACATCTATGATGACAGCTCTTCTAGCGAAAGTGAAAAATATTGATGTTGTCAAACACATATGTATAATTACTTTTTGTGCCCCCCTTAACTTTCAATCACCTCTATTGACTCTGTGACAGTAGTGTTGTGTTATTATTTACTGATGTCTCTTTTTCAAATATTTAGTTCTGAAATATCACCTTAATATTTCCATAGTTTTGAGTCCGACCCTGCTCGGTTCTTGGGTCTACGACCATCATGCCAGCGACGCGTGCTGGTTGTTGTGTCTGGTCTCACTTGAAATGGATTCAAGTAGAACACAGGCGTACCCAAGATTCTATGTAGGGGAGAGGGCAGTTTACTTGTAGGTAGGATAGGGTGACTGTCTACCTCTATGGACCAATAACAGTGTTTGTGAGCGTTATGTAGTCCTGAAGGGCTCTAAGCTGGACGTTGTACTTTTTTAAATCATCACTTACTTCAATAAACTCATCAGGAAGATCGGATTTCTTGAGTGTCCTCTTTTGCTGTCCTTTCAAAGGCAGAACGAAATGAAAGCCCTTAGTTTGATTACTGCTCAGCGTTAGGGGTAAGCCATATTTTTCTGAAAGTTGTTTCGTATAAACTAGAAAAAATAGTGAATAAAAAATTATTTGTTTATTGAAAGTAAGACGCTCTTGATGGGGAAAACATGAAATAAAAAGCACTAAACAAACTAGCCATTATAAAATAATATACTGAAAATCAGCATTTACATTTATTTTTTAATACGAGAACAGCCCCTCGAATTTATGCAGAATAAAAGAAATATCGCAGTTTTTTTCGAGAAATAGTCCACACGCACAGCCTTTGGAGTGGTAAAATTTTGTTTGAGGGGCTTAAAACAGAGTGGGGGGAAACCGAGAATTTATCGTTATTCGAATGTTTAGTCACATGAAAGCACAAATTACCTTGCAAGTCATTCAGTCTCTCTGTATACGTTTTTCTGATCAAGTCCAGAAGACCATTGATTCCACACTTGATAGCAAAGCATCTTTGCATGGTGGCTTGAGATCCTTTTGCAGGATGAGCACCTTCACTCAACATCTCCCTGAAAACAGAAATTTGAAAAAATAATGTCTTCTAGTCAGGTATCAAAATGTGAGAGAAGAGGTAGCGTAACGCACCATACACCACGGTTAACGCAGTATGCCTTTGAGTGAGATAGGATCTGCACAAACATACACAAAGACACACTGCCTTAGCAATGGCGTATGATGAGTTATGCTTCTTTCTTCCATTTTGGTAATATACCAGATACCTCTCGTCTCTGTAATACAGGATGCGGCAAACACTACTTAGCAGTTTCAAATGGATTCAACTAGTCCCTATGAGAAAAAAGATAGCTACGAACATGTATACAACGCTCTTAAAAGTTTTAAAGGCAGGCTACGCTTTCACACAAAGTTAACTCTTGCCGATGAATTACCACCCCCCTCCACCTGAGGAGAATCCCTGCGGACTCACGTGTTCGTTGCTGTAACTAATCCCACGTGAATGACGATACGACTTCCACAGACCACAACAGCACGGAATTGCATGGTGTTTTCAAAGTTGAGTCATTTATTTTAACAGCTTGTAGAATTCGTCAAAAGAAGTTGGTATACCAAAAATCACTTATATAAAGTTGCATAACAAGAGAGTTAGTTTACACTATTGAAAATTATAAAAAGAATCATTATGAAGTTAAATGGATACCGTTTCTACAAAAACGGTTCAAAATTGTCCCCATTTGTTCGATTAACGCAAAATCTTGCTCGGCGAATTCACGACTCTTCACAAGCTTCGAAAATAAAATCCTGGTGTACACGAACCAAATCACAAGCATTCTCACTGCGCTGTTGAAGTTCTTCCAGAGTATTTGCTGCTCCATCATGATACACCAAATCTTTCAAATAGCCCCACACAAAAAAACGCAAGGCGTCAAGTCCGGGGAGCGAGCAGGCCAAGAAATGGGTCTATTATGCCCTATCCATCTATTCGGAAACTTATTATTTAGATGTTCATGAACTTCTCGCCTACAATGTGGTGGAGCATGTAGGAACCACATATTCTGTCTCACATTTAGAGGGAGATCTTCCAATGATTGTGGCAGATTGTGTCGAAGAAAATCTAAATAAATTTCTCCGGTCAGTCGAGGTGGAAAAAAGTAGGGTCAATGAGCATGCCATTTACCACACCAGCCCAAACATTTAATGAAAATCTATGTTGAAAATGAGTTCTTCTTACAGCTTGCGGATTTTCTACTGCCCAAACATGATTGCTGTGGAAATTGTGTACTCCATTTCGTGTAAAGGTGGCCTCGTCTGTACACAAAATTAATTTCGTAAAATCATTTCTGCCGAACTGTTCTAGAAGCCACTGGCAAAATGCAACTTTTCTAGAATGATCTTTTCAGGTTGTAACGCTTGTCGTATTGTCTTCCACACTTTACTATGAGAAACTTCAATTTGAGCTGCTATGGCTCTAGTCATTGTTGGGTCGTCTTCGACCATTTCTGAAATGTCTTCCTCAATTTTTAACATTTCAGGTTGAGCAGGTCTTCCAGCGTGACTTCCTCGTTGTATCCTTTGTCACGAAGTCTAATAACTAAATTTACAAAGATCTCCCACGGATGGTTTCACAAAGAAAATCTTTCCGCATGCAACCTGCGTGTTGCAGTTGCATTTTGTTGGCACTCACCGTATCTAGTATTACCTATGTATCTCCCCTAGTTCAGTGTTCTCGTAAACATGGGCCATATTTTTGCTCAAAATAATCAGACAACTGAAAGTATACGCAGTATTAAGAGACTGATACAACATATCGAACCAAAGACTGAAAACCATACAATAATACAAAAAGTTTGCCAAATTTAGATAAACGATAAGAGTAGTAGACAAAAAACGCTAAGATTTTACACGGTTGTGGTCGAGAATATCAAAAAATCTTTTAATAACATTGTTTTTTAAAATTCCCAATCTTTTATTATTCCTTTTATTATGCAACTTTTTATATAGGTGGTTTTTGGTATATCAACCCCTTTTGACTAGTCCTACAAAGGCAGTTAAAATAAATTATTCAACTTTGAAAACAAGTTTTAATGGTATAAGTACCGGAAAATGCATGTTGAGTGAAATATTTAAAAAATTGTTTTTTATTTTTAAACTTCAACACCCCATGTCTTTTTAATGAAGCCCTCGGGGAAAAAATGTTACATAGAAATGTAACATTTTTTGTAATGTAAAATGCGGTCCTGTGGAAGATGTTTCATTTTTGGTCACGACTTTTTTTTCATAATCGTTTGAAACTGCTCGTTTCGTTTTGTCGAACTCTGTAGATAATGTATATGGTAAATATCGCTGCTATTAGTAATATCCTGAAGTAAAGTGTTACCTTATACACTTCCTTATGTGTTCAAAACCTTCATCTTCCAGGGTTTTTCGCAACCTCACAAAAAATGGCATTTTCAGTTTGGATATGACGTCTTTGAGAGGTGCGATCATGTCCAAAAGACTGTTTAGCAGAAGGACGTAATTCAACTGTCGGTTCGAACATTTTTCAGGATCGATTGATAAAATGGTGGCTATGCCAAGGATCATGTCGATGTTTGGCACTTTTTGGAGAAGAGCCTAATAAACACACAATCAAAATTATAGCCACAATACTACAAAGCACTTTTTATCGAGTCGTAGAAGATGTGGTTCATTCTTGAGAATCATATAAGACACAAATTCCCTTGCATAAATGTCAAGGCGGGGCTCCCTTATGGAGATCTCCAAAAGGGCGATACTGAAAATCATTTTTACTTGTTCTTGTTGCAACTAGCCGCAATCATTGCTTGAGTGCAGTGTATTTACCCGGTGATATAGTACAGATCACTCAGAATTTTTAATAGGGTTAACGTCATTTAGTGTCTTAGAGCCCGCGGGCCATAAACGCGCACTCTACGACCTATATACATAAATAACCATTTTTACAGCACGGCAACCAATTAGACCTATACAATTAACTTGTTTAGTTCAAAACTTTTAAAATTATGTAACAAATGTAGAAAATGAAATTCAAGTTGACCCAAAGAAATTTTGGAAGTTTATAGCAAATTGTAAAAATTCAGATACAATCAACCCCCGGTGTTCTAATGAGCCAATCGAAATCTGTAATTTGCTGGCAGTGAACTTCAGTAGCGTTTTTTTCACAAATAATGTTTACGATAGTCCTCAGAACGAAGGCACACCCTAAGGTTTGAAAACAATCCGTTAGAAGCTACTACTTGAAATTATTGACACTGCAAAAATCTAAAATGAATTTATAAAAACCTCTTCAATTTACAACACCTTTTTAGAATTTAACGCATTCTCCGATGCTTGGAAGAAATCCTCCGTTAGAGCCGTTTTACACACAAGAGAATTACTCCGAAAATTATGGTCATAATTATGCCGAAAATTTGCATGGAAAAAATATTGAAGATTTTCTCTACAACCTGTATAACACAAACAAACAAAATTTCGGAGTAATTCATATGATACGCCTGCGCATTAGAGTAATATTTTCGAATGGACATAAGCTTAACGGGTATGACGTCCAATATAATCGAAAAGACAACAGTCGTCGTTGATTTAAATTTATTTTTGAAATCGAGATCTTGGTTAATATTATAAAACTTCTCAGTGCTTGGACTATCGCATCCAGCGCCTGACGCCGCAAATTTCTGTTTTTGTAATCGGGTGACTTCACCTTGTACAGGTTTGGCCATTTTTGCTACTCCTTCAACAACAGTGTAACTTCTTCGCTTCTTCCCGATTCCACGACATTATGAATAAACAATAACAATAAACGCTCCTTCGTACGACTCGAACAGGACCACACCCACAAATGTTAAGCGAGGTTTTTACCATGAAAATTTTCACAATAATTCTTTTACGTGTAATACGACAGCAAAAATTTTCGGTATAACTAAGACCATAATTTTCGGAGTAATTCTCTTGTGTGTAAAACGGGTCTTACACCACATTTTTAAAAGTAGAGACGGGTACATGACAGACAATTACAGGGAAATTAGCAAGATGTGCACATTCTCGAAGATGTTTGAAAAGCTAATTTATAACTGAATCCTTTGTAATGTAAAAAAACGTAATCTATCAGCAACAGTAATTTGTCTTGTTTTTCTGACTTCGTTTCCGATACTTTGAACAGAAATTTCCAAGTCGATGCTATTTTTACCGACTTCAGCAAGACTTTTCATCGAGTTAATCATAGTTTGCTATTAACCAAACTTGCTGAGGCTGGTGTTCGTAACTCTCTTGCAAAGTGGGTTTTATCGTATTCGCGCGATAGAGAATTTTTCGTAGGTATTAATCCAGAGTTGTTACTCCATCATCGGGAGTTCCTCAGGGCAGCCACCTAGGTCCATTATCCTTCTCAACCTATATAAATGATATCGTACACTGTTTCAGCCTTTCGCAGTTTCTTTTTTGCGCAGATGACTTAAAGATGTATCGTAGGTAAAAGCATTCAAGACTGCGTCAAATTATAATCTGTTATCGACAATCTCAACGGTTATTGTCAGAGAAATGACCTTCTACCTGACACTGAAAAGAGAAGCCTATTCCAAAATGCGTATCAGATAGAGTATGTCAATATTAATTATGTGAGCAATATTCGGAAACTTGGTTATTACACTATATAGATGAAACCATAAATAGAACGGATAAGATGCTTGGCTTTATTAGAGGACAACCCTGAAACTCTATTTATCACTATAGTATGCGTTAAAACGGGATGTTATTTAAGTACGCGGACAAATTTCAGGAGTTCTTTGAGTAACTTTTAGATGAAAAGTTCATATAAACATAGGTCCACAAATGCCTCATTTTCAAGATACAAGGTGTCAAACTTTTTTTTAAAAATCGGTTTTTCCTAACTATCTTGATAAACTTTCACTCGATTTTGTTCAAATTTAGCAATGGTATTAAGAGCAGTAAGGGGCTAATTTAGCTCCAATTAGATAGAAATTATTTAAGTCCAGTGGGGTCCCGAAAAACACCCTAACCAATATCTTGGACAAACAATTTGTACGCCACTGACTTTTTTAATTTCTATATTTTTTCTGATTAAGCAGCTAAAAGTACAACTTTATGTCTCCTGAGTTTCTTTCATATCTCGCTTCGTTTGTGAGGTAAAAAATAAAAAGCACTTTTTGCATGTCCCAATACTGCGAATTTTGCAAAGGTAGCCTGCTGTAATAATAGAAAAACTGAAAAGTCAGTGGCGCACAATTTTTTTGTCAAAGATATTGGTTGGGGTTCTTTAAGGGACGTCACTGGAATTAATAATTTCATCCTAATTGGGATTAATAACACTGCTAAGTTTCACCGAAATCGACTGAAAGTTTATCATGATATTTAGGAAAAACCGATTTTTTAAAAAAAGTTTGGAAGCCTGAAAATGAATCATTTCTAGACCTATTTCTATATGAACTTTTCATCTTAAAATTACTCAAAGAATCACCTCCTGAAGTTTGGCCACGTACTTAAATAACACCCTGTACATAGTAGTGACTCTTTCGCATCTTTTATTTGGAACCGACTGTACGAAGTCCATTGAGTCTGTCCGACATAAGTTCTGGAAAATTCTGGCTTATAAGGCGAGTATCGTTGTCCTTAATCACGAGTATAGCTTGGTAATGGAACATTTCAAAATCTTACCTCTATGAGAATGGTATTATCTGATTTATGTTTCCTTCACAGACTTTTGAACAATCAAATTGACAGCTTTTAACTTTCATCGAAAATCAATATAAATGTACCGATAAGAGTGAATCCTAGACACTGTAGATACTTTAGCATTCCGATTTGTCGAACTAATATTGGTTTAAACTCTTCACTCTTCACAAAGAAATCTGAACAACTATGGTAAATTTGTTGATACTTTTTCTTGTGAAATCTTAAAGTTTAAATACTTAATTTATGTTAGAAAACATAATGTTGGTCACTCCCTAGTAAGCTGCGTTCCCATTCTCTGTGTCTCGTTACTAAGTTGAATATTATGTCATAACATTTTCATATACAGTGAAAAATCCATATACCACTGACGTCCTAATGTGTACGAGAGAGAAGCGCGAGAAGCGTGCAATACGTGTGTTAGAAAGATATAGAAGCAACTCGTTGCCTAGCAACCCGAGTCATGAGGCCACGGACGCAGCTACACCGCATGTAAATTATAAATAACGATGCTCACAATTTAGTATGTTTAACTATACTGTCGATGATTTTTACATTTTCTCTGTATGATGTCCCTAATTTGTAAAATAAATAAATAAATAAGGGATAAGCTAATTCAAAGAGCTTTTTTCAAGATATCAAAATGCGTTGAATCAGTTCCTTCAGTTCCTTCAGGTGTTATTTAGGAAAAACAATTCTCAGTAGCCGTTTAGGAGACACATCGTAAAGAAAACTATTTTTGATTTTTACAATTTCCTCATACATATTTTGCATATTATTATGAGAAATAAGAAAAACCTGTATAGACAGGCGAGCTTCAGGATTCAACGCCAATTCTGTAACACATTCCAATCGTTCCTCTATGTATTCAACTTTACAAGGTGGTCTCAATATAGAAGATCGCAATGTTCTTGTGCCAATCTTGGTACAGCAATGGTTTAAAATGCCAAACAAGCTGGAATATCGGTTTGCCTGTGCTGGTTTTGTACTGCATACTAGTTCTAGCCTATCAGCTGTAGAAGTATCTAAAGAATACATCAAATATGGTAAGAAAAATTAAAGTAATTTACACAGTTATTTCCTAAAGTTCTCCCTCTTTGCTCTCCCCCTTCCATCCTTTTTTCAACCAAGAGCTAATCTCCTGTAGACCGCCCACCTTCAAATGAATAGATGCCGTCAGTGTCAGTGGATTTGTCTGCAGCCTTATACAGGGTATTTGGTACATACTTGAACCAACAACATTTTTTAGGCGACTGGGCACGCTATTAGATGATTTTTGATGGGAATCGCAAATGCTCTACGGGCTACAGTTACCGAGATATGATCGTTTTTTGTATGTTTTTTTTTTGATGAATATCGTTCTAACTTTTTTGTATCTAGAGATAATGACACAAAATAAACGTGAGTCTGTTCTGTAATGTATACTCCATCAGACTAGGTAAACAGTTTGTTCAAATCTTCTCAAATGGTAACCGTAGTCCTTAGAGCATTGCGGTTTCCATCAAAAATCATCAAATAGCGTCCCCATTCGCACAAAAAATGTTGTTGGTTCATGTGCCAAACACCCTGTATATCAATAGGTCATACCCACGTGACATCATGTAAAGCCTATTTCACCAGTATCCATTACGTTTTGACGTTTACTGAGGTTAAGAGCTGATCATCAAGTGACATCTTGTTTAGTCTGTAACGTTAGCAATAATGAATCGGATGTGAATCTGGTAAAACTCAGGACCGTATTCAGAGCCGTGGTTCACAATCTCACACTTTCAGTGACTGGGAATTTTGACAACAAAATTTACGAAGTACACAGAGAAAAAAGGTTTATTAGAAAATTATTATATGTAGTACACTTGGGATTTATCGATTTCGAGGTAAGTCGATAGAACCGATTGCGATGCCGTTTCCAGTAGCTGTAATTTTACGTAGAGGTTTAGTTATAATAATAAATCAATACAGCTTGTTTAAAACACTCCTGATATACCTAAAAAAATTGATTATGCACGTTTAATGAACCTGCCTTATTCATTTGGCCATCTGAAATATTTTGATAGTTGAAAAATTGAATTTGATATTTTTGAATGTTTTACTCTCTTTATAAAAACTATAAACTGTTCTTATTTCCCTACCACAAGCACTAGCGGCTTCCACGCGATGTGGTTGTTTCATCTAGATTTTTGGAGTGTTTTCAACATGCCTGTATTCACGAACAATGCATTGTCCCAGTTGGAGTACATTTCACGACTTCCTGCCTTAGTTGTACATTTCACTTACATTTTTTATTTTCCAACTTCTTAGAAATATCTGAGTAATATTCAGACATAACTCAGGCAATCGAACCCTATCAATTCGGTCATATACTGCCACATTTTCAATTAATTGTATGGCTGTTTCATTGCCCTTTAAAATTATATGGTGTTTCATGTTCTAAAAAGTAGAGATATAGTCAAAACTGTTTGTCTTGTTTTATTCCTACATGATTTGAAGTGTAGTCATAATCATTAACAGCATTTTTGTTTGTATCATCTTTTTTGTATGAGGAATAACTTTTCTAAAGTATAAAATGAATCTTTAGCGTGCATAAAACCACAACAAAATACGGCTCTGTCTACTTGGCGTTGACGGTTCCATCAGAACTGTATGTCATTTGTCGATATGGGGAATTTTGAAGTATTGTATTAGGTACTAGATAATCAGCTGTTATTCTACCGTAATGGATACTGGTGAAAAAGACAGTACCTACACATCGTCAGGCCACCACTAACCGCTAACGCGGCGTACTTTTGTATCGGAAAAGTCAGATGTATTATGCAAAGACTATTTCACTTTGAAGCAGAATCCAGGGGGCGCCCATGTTAATATATTTTTATAAAATCACAATATCTATAATCACGTTTTTGTTGTCGGCGAAAAGTTAATTACATATATGATCATCTCCAAAAGCATTAGTTGTGTTCTCTTGAACAAAAAATTCGTAATTACACTACACTGTCCGACCACTGCATATTTATTCAATTATTCACCCTGCGCTGCAAAAAACCTACCGATGACAGCGTATCCTTCTGATTCCTGGTATTCTATTTTAATTGTTCCTTTTGCGTAATATATAAACAAACTTTCTTGAATGTGAGTGATTAAAGCGGATGCAGCCGCTAATGCATAATATCTGAAAAAAAACAGGCAAACAGGAAATTGGGAAAAATTTGGGCCAAAAACCATAGTGTCGCGCCATCTATTTCTAGCAGCTAAAAACACAAAGAAGCTGCCCAAATGAGAAATCTACTGGATGCAGGAATCTACAACATTCTCGCTTACGAGGGGACCTCAATTCATATTGTTGTTACAGGGTAAACTTCCTTCTGAAGTGGTGTGAGTTTTTGATCGTAAACCATAACATTTTTAAGAAATGTAACGCTGCCATAGATTCATATATGATTATATTCGGAACAAGTTAGTCCCTCTTAGAAAAACGTTGGCCACGAAAAAAGGTATTTAATTTGATCATGTCAGTCAAACAGGTTCATACAATTAGTCCGTCCCCACAGTTTGCGATCTAACCTACCCACAGTACCGAACAGCAACTCTGCTTTCCGCTGCACCTGCAAACCCATCACGGTGTTGCATACACGCGGATATACGCATCATGGCTCAGTTATCCCTCAGCAGTCGAAACAGACAGACGTATAGTTGGCTTGTCCGACATGAGCGTATCTCGAAAATATATTTTAATCATTCAAGTTTTAAGGTCAAATATACAGGGAATCTATGATGTATAAAATATATCTAATAGGTGCGTAGAATTACCGAGGCGGGGAATGTATCAATTGCCAGAACCAAAAAATTGACATATACTCTCCCCCACACCCATTCAACCCCCAACATCCAATCTTTGATATTTGCAAGAATGTTTCTAAAAATGACCAGGATCTGCTGAAACGTCAAAAAAAAACCAAGAATGAACGATTTTGATTTTTTTTTTCATTTTTTGACCAGGATCTTCTGAAACGTCAACAATTCAAGTATGAAGGATTTTGACTTTTTTTTTCATTTTTTACCTGAAACTCCGCTGTCGCTGGACTGATTTTCAAAAACTACAGAGCTTTGTCTTGACCATAGTAACAACTTTGTAAGAACGGTTCATCAAAATATGAGCCGTACTTCTCAAAGTTATAGACGGGCCAAGGATTCGCTGACAGACAAACCGACGGAAATGATTGAGATGGTTTTGACTAATTACGTGTCATATAACATCAAAAAAAACATTATCTCATTTCCGAATTTTTTCGCGATTTCAATACTTACCGATGCTGCAAGATCAATAGTATACCATTTAAACCAGGAACACATAGACTTGACAAGGTTTCTAATCCATTGATTTTATTAAACGTACTTCTTGGAATACCAGATATTTTCATTTTCGGGAACTGTTTTCTGACCATGGTAACTAATCTGTTTTCGGTAAAAGTATCAACAAAGGTTGTGGGAACTAAAATCTACAAGAAATTATAAGAAGTACATCATTAAGATATTACCACTTGCCCAAAATCTTATAGCACTTTTTTGTTAAATGTTACAAGTTTGGCTTAGGAAGAAAAAAAAAAGAAACGATTTGAGTAGAAAAACAAAAAGAGTCCTGCGAATTTGTGAAAATAAAAAAGCTTGATTTTCACTTTTTTTACTCTACGAACTATATACTTTGTTAACAGAGATTAAAAAGGTGTCTGAAAGATATTAACGCCATATGCGAGACGAAAGCAAAACAAAAAAATGAGTTTAGAATTCCGCTTTGGAAAAATAGTGTTTTTTGTCATTGTCTTATAGATGGCGCTATGGTCTTCAATCCATTTTTGACTTTTCTAATGCTCATTTTGATTGGATATCTTAGTTAAAAAATTCTAGCTGAAGATTTCCATTTGGAATAGCTATTAGAGAGACCAAAAAAGATTGAAGATTGAAGATTAAAATTCATTGTGTTCTGTTAATGCCTAATAGATTACGTTAGCATCTTTCAGTTTCGTTTTTGGATGCTTAGATAATATATAATATATGGTTAACTATCTTCAGGTAGGATACGTTAACCAATGCCAAATATGACGGTATCACAATCTTTTTCATCGGTGAACGCTGCGGGTACACCGGGTGTTTCAAATTCTACCCTCACCATTATGATCTCGGAAACGGTAAGAGATACGATGTCGCTTAAATAGAGGCACAGTTGCGTATTTATGTAACGAACAAAATGCCGCTTAGACAGTTTCGAAATTCAATGTACTTCCGAAGAGAACCGGAGAAAACAGAATTTTCCCAAAACCGTTGTATTTGTGGAGGGATTTCAAAATGAATTGCACCTTAATATTGCTACTTTTTCTCATCTACAACATGGCATAATTAGAAATTCAATATGACGTTTAGTCTTTTGTCATCCAGCAACAACTTTATTTTTTTGTTAAGAACGCCATATTGTATGTTTGCACAGGTGAATAGTTTTTAATTCTGATTTCAAAAATATATAATAATCATACATTGACATTGCCAAACCTTGAATATTCAAAAAAAAAACAGCATTTCCTAGGTAGGCCTCGAAATTACCACATGGTACATAATTTGCTTCATATACTAGATTTATCGCGAATCATTTTTATCTTTTCCTGACCTTATTTTTGATGAGGTTTGAAAATAAATTGCATGATGTAATTGCCACTTTTTCTCCTCTGTAAATTGGAATCTTATAAATTCAGCGATGTATTTCCTTGGTTGGCGATGAACTTGTCGACAAAATGGAAATTTTATCGGTGGTAATAACAATAATCATAAACAAGCAGAGATAAATCATAGCAGATGTTCAAAACGTTGGGCATTATTTTGTGGACAAAACCTGACCCTTCTATGTGCATTCTTGCTAGGTTTAAGTATTTCTTTTCATCTCGGTCTTCCAAACTCTGTTATTATGTTCAATTTGAGGTCCTCAAAACTAACACATGCTCCCTGTGCATAAATTGACCATACATTTTCATTTCCTTATAATTTTCAATCGAAAATCAAATTATTTGCCAACTAAGGAATATCACTGAATTTGGGTGAGAAAACTCATTTAAATGTTTAAAATTTCAATATAGCGCCCATATGAGAAAAAAACAATTTTGGAAGTAGAAAGAAGATACCTCTCATTGAAAACGCCATCTAAAGTAAAGCCAGTAGGAAATAATTTGGCAATAAATCCGTGTATGGAACAAATAACTGTCTGATAATTTCAAGGCTTAGCTAGGAAATTCTAAGGTTTGGCAATGTCAATGTTATACATAATACATTATAATTTTTTGGAATCAGAATTGAGAACTATTCAACTGTGCTCTTAAGAAGAAATAAAGGAGAAAAGTGACAATATTTATGTGCAATTTATTTTTAAATCCCACAGCAAACAAATCCAGGAAAAAATTAAAACGATCTTGGGAAAATTTGTTTTTTTCCGTCTCCCTCCGAAAGTACTTTGGAATTCGAAACTTTCTAAGCTGCATTTTGTTAGTTAATACCTAAATACACAACTTTCTTCCCATTTAAGATCCCAATGGTGAAGGTCGAATTTGAAACACCGGGTATGTACTTGTAGAACATAGAACAGAATAAACTAAATTTTTATCTTTGACGGCAATAGAAAATTACCTCGTTTGGATTAATAATGTTGATTTTGGTCAAAGTATTTACATAACTTTGGGTGTCTGAGATCTGACACAATACTATAAGTGGTCTAGTAACATCCACTGCTGCTATACCAACTTCGCATCTTGCTCCTCCGCGGCCTTCAGTCAGCGCTGCACAGAAAAAATTGTTGAAAACAGCTGAATGTTGATCACACTGGATTTCTCTTACCAACAATGACTTTATTTTCTGGTTCTTCAGAAGATACTTTGGAACTACTTCTCGATTTTTTTGCTGACGAGGAAGTTGTGTTTGGAACACTATAAAAAAAAATTAGTTAGAAAGATATTCAAACTGTATACAAAATATTTACACTTTTTCGATACTTTTGGACTGTTAAAAAACTTTGGCCTTATAATTGAAGAAACAAAACAGTTTTCTTCCATCAGATGCCCTATTTTTTTTTTAAAACTCAGCGAAAAAGCATAGTTCTAAAGCGGTAAAGTAGGGCTTATTTAGGTCCTTAACCCTAAATATATGGGGGCGCGCAGAGGGTTGCCAGAAGGCCGTCGCCCCATCTCAAGAATCCGGCTAGACCCTAAAATCTTCAGCATGATTTTGTGCACGATTTTAGGGATTTGTCCCCTCTTTTGAGGAGTTAGTATCGCCTCTTAAGGCTTGCTGTCCCATAAAAAAATGGAAAAAAGTAAATACTGTTGATTGAGCCGCCCCTAGGAGCCTGCCGCCCCAGGCCATGGCTTATTTGCCTCTAGGATAAATACGTTCACAAAACGTCATCTCTTGCCGATGATCGCCGGAATGTTCTTGCAGGAGCCATTGCCTAAAATACATGTACGTCTAGGGAAGCGATAATATTTAAGTGATTTTGACAATATGCAGACTTTTTTATTATTCGTTTTGCATTTAGGGTTTTCGCAACAAGTCCTTTTTGGTTATTTTATACCCTAACTTCCTGGCTTATATCGCCAAATCAATGAATTTCATAAGAACAACTTTGTCAGAAGGAGAAAAAACAATTTTTGGAACTTGTTCAAAATAGTTGTTCCAACAATATAATAAAACAAAAAACAGATTCAGAATAATTTCCGTGGATGCGAAGATGTCGCGACTGATGTTGTGAAAATACTGCAAGTCCGTGTTGTTATTCTTAGAACGCATATTGAGGTAAAAAGGTGAGATTAATCAGTTAAGATCACTCTTTTGTCTCTTATATTCTCATAGATTTTAATAATAATGATTTACGCATCTACCTTATATGGCTCTTTCCCCAAATTAGATCAGACGACGGAGTAGACTTTTTGCGTAAAGGTGGAGTAGGAGGTGGACCCATGGGTATTTTATTGACACTATAAACTGAAAAACATAATTTCTTAATTACCTACCTATCCGCAGTAATAGCACTTAAACAATCATACCTGCATTGCTATTTCTTTTATTTGCCGTATATCTAACTCCCTTTGGTTTCTTCTTGTTCACTAAGAACTCGTTCAAATTCATGTTGCTTGGCAAAATATAAATCGCTAATAATAACTAATCAGTTTTCAGAAACAACAGATCTTTCTCAAGCACTAGTAGTTTCTCAAATTCAAATTCTAACTGTCCACGAAGTTTTTTGCATGGATGTCAAATTAACCATAAGCACAGCCACCTTTTAGCAATTAAAGGAAATGCTTTTGGTTACCTAGTTTACACTTTTTCTGTGCCAACATGTTAGTAAATCGAATAGACAACAATTCAAATTCTGATATTTTTAAGAACTAATATGAATTGTTTTTTTAATGCTAGAATTTTGGAAGATGCTAATAAAAATACACTATAATCTGAAATCGTTGATCAAAATTGAAGCCATGACAGCACCGCACTGTATATCTGGTTGCCTGTAATACAGGAATGTAGTGTAACGCATACATGGGTGTGCTTCAGGAGCCTAGTCATGAAGACTAGAAATAGGAGATTGGTTAAACTCAGGGCGCCCCAATAGTAAGCCAAAAATGTCGACGCTGGTTGGTACACAGTGTAGCGATGGGATGTGAAAAATCGATATTACTGAATCCAAATGTTCTATTTATTGAAATATTTATCTCCCAAATGCTTCACAATGTAAAGACATGAAGTAAATGTTTTCAAACCATTTAAATATATTTTTAAGACCAGCATTTATGAAGGCTATGGCTCGACCAACGCTCGCTCAACTCCAAAACCACAACATATATGGGCATACAACTCAATTCTACGAGTTGTAGACACGTATTTATTCTGCGATTGGTCAATTTACTATTCCTATCTGGAACTGGTTGATTAGTGCGCGTTAAATATGCTTGACTTTGAATGGCTATAAATTATCGGATTCAGGCATTTATACAACACTGATCAGCAAATTAATTTCAGGTTCTATACCTTTCTGTTGTTTTCATCATGACTATAAGCAACTCCAGTTTTGACAGTCCGGACGAGTTGCAAGCGGAAATATTGGAAAATTTGAATAAACCACTAAGTTATAAACCTACACAGCATAACAAAACGTAAGTGAAATGCACATCACGATTATGGCAGGTTATGTTGTCATCTTTCAATGCGCAGGCGCTCTACACCATGTTATATTAGATTTTCTTGAGTCACACCAGGATTGGCTTCGTATGAATACTTAATTTTTTGTATTCATGATAACAACAACAGGAAGAGGTATCACGAGCGCAGCACCTGAAATTTATTTTCTGCGCACTGTACAAAAAAGAGAGATGCCCTATGCGCATTACCTGAAATTGATTTGGTGCGCAGTGTATCACCTCACTTCATCGTCGACTTTTTTTGCTTCACCCCTCTATGAGCTGAACATTCTATCTCTAGTCCTCATGGGTACAGCACAAATCGTGTTGCACTACGCCTATGGTGTTAATCAGAGAAGACGGGATGAGAAATGCACCATGTGGACCACATCCTTATACATTCGTATGATTGGTTGCCTAATATAGCGCTTGTTCGGTGGCGCCGTCTGCAAAGTGAAAGATCAAGACTGATAAGAACCGTCTTGCACTAATCATAGCAAAGCACCTTCTTTAATCAAAGGTGGCCATGGCAGTGCCTTAATTTATTACACAGAGCGTTTGACAAATGGAATGACTACCGTACGGTGCGTGTATCATTTAAAAAAACACCTAAAAACAATAAAAAGGCTGTGAATTAACTCGAATTTATGTTAAATGTGTTGTGTGTGCTTTTGTTTTTCGTCCAAAGTGTTTAAATATGTGTACTGTACCGCCAAAGTTTTATCAGTTGTGTCGTTTGTGTTTATCTATTGATAAGGAGAATGCTCTATTTATTTTCGATAAGGCGGCAGAGGACAGAAATATCCCTAGGAAAATCATGACGTGTCTGTCAATCCTGGTAAGATGATTCATTTTTGATAACCAGTCATATCTGTATTTAACCTAATCGACGAGGCCGTGCTTCGGCTCTTTTGTTTTGCTTTTGTACTTATTCCTTTGCACTGGATATTTTGAACTGTTATAGCTTGCAAGACACAGCTGCAGCGAATCCGGTTTATTTTAGGAAATTTACAGTCACTACTGGTATAAATAATATCGGTTTTTTGTTTTAAAAAACATCTGCGTCGCGTGGGACGGCGGATGAGGATGCATTGTATATTTGATTACAGCGGACCAGTCGGTTCCTCAGTACAGGTACCGATGAGCACCTGGCTTGTCGTACTGGTCCACTGCAAATAGAAAGTTTGGCAAGAACGGGAGATGGGAAGATGATAAGATGAACTCGCCGTGATAACAAGAGTTCTCTTTGTGCTGTAAATAAATCCCGCTCGCTCGGTATTATCGTTCACAGTTCTACTTTTGTTCTTATTTCGTGGCATCCATCGTTATTTATACGTTTCTGTAACTGTTTCTTTTTGAGATTTTTTACATGACATCGCGCTTTTTTTCTTAAATGCATTTCAATCAACCATTGACTTCCACAAATCTGCATTTATGTGAATTGAAGAAATTGACTGACTACCTATGTGCACTCTTTTATGAGCTGCAGTCAAAGCTTGGTCAACTCCTTGAGAATGGGCAACCTTGCTTTACTAGAAAATAACAATAAATATGAAAAGTGCAGTTTTGTATTATATGTATTTAGTTAGGTGCATAGAATGTAAAGTGATGGAAAAATGCGAATTTCATTCTCAGTCTCAAGTTCAGACTGCTGGACACAGAAATGACTGAAACCAGGTTATGAACCAGGGCTTTTGCTCGGGATTTTGTGCCACAATGACATCAAGCAAAACCTGTTTAATTTTTTTTAGCTGATTCGCCCAATAGGTGCTTAAGATATTAAGCAGAATTTAATGTGTTACCCAAACTGGCACAAGGTTTATAAAATGCTGTGGTGCAAATATATCATGGACAGGGAAGCAGTGGTGCAAACTCCCCCCCCCCCTCCCCAATATGAAAAACTTTTAAATTATACTGGTAGAGAGACATTTAAAACTTCCAATGTGAAATTGTAATTTTCAGTTGTATATCAACCATACACTGTATTCTGCCATCCAAAAATCTATGAGACACTAGCAACAAAAATGAATTTAGAAATCTACTTTGAAACCAGTTACTTTAAAAACACTTGGTGTTTGCTTCTGCTACTGTATCATAAATGATGTCTCATTAAGACTTATTTTAATAGGGTATTTTCAGGTGGAATATGATAATCAATGCCGGAAGTTACTCAATTATAATAGGCATAGGTAGGCGCCAATAAGAGATCAAAGATCTTAGCGCCATCTCTGATATAGTAGCAGAATCGGTACTGTTGCGTCTTGTAAAACTTCGAATTTCGCTGTTTTTTCACTTGAAACTTGAAGATGGTAGTCCGATAGATTATTTTAATTGAAAAAAAGTGTGGATGAAGCAGCTTGTCTAGAACATTTTTTCCCAAAACACTGTATTTTTAGCAGTTATTTTCACCATTATTTCTACCGCCATCGGCGATATGATGTTGAAGTCTGTGCATATGTCATGTTTGAGAGGCGCTTGCCTGCGGTTTTGCCGGATTGGGCTCCGCATTTAGGTAAAAAATATGAAGGAAAATTTATAATACATATAAGTATTAATTAATGAAAAACAAAAACGAAAAACTTAAACAAACAACAGTAGCAAAATAAAAAGTGATTCTTAATAAGTATAAAACAAAAAATAATAGTAAGCCAAAAATCAATAAATTAATTGTCAATACTTATAAAAAATAAAACGTAGTAAAACAAAAAAAACTATTCCATGTAATTATTTAGAATAAATAACAAACAGTAAAATAAAATGCAATTTTTGTATAATTACATGGAATTGTTTTTCATTTTACTACTGTTTTTACTTTTTGTTTTTTGTTATCACTTAGAATAGCTTTTAATTTTACTGTTTGTTAATTTTTGTTTTTTTATTATTACATGGTATTTTTTTTTGGCTTTACCACTGTGTTTATTTTTTGTTTTTTATAATTATTTACAATTTGTTGTGTGTTAGCTTACTACCGTTATTTTTTATTTTATACTTATTAAGAACCGCTTTTTATTTTGTTATTGTTGTTTGTTTCAGTTTTTCATTGATTAACATGAATGTACATATATAGATTTTATACTTTTCATTTTCCCTAAATGCGCAGCCCAATCCGGCAACACCGCAGGCAAGTGCCTCTCATATATGACATATGCACAGACGTCAACGTCGCCATATGGCAGATGGCGGTGTAAATAATGGTAGAAATGATTGCTAAAAATACGTCTTTTGGGAAAAAATGCATGAAAAGCGTGCTTCACACACAGTTTTTTATTTAAAATAATCTATCAGACTACCCTCTAGAAGTTTCAAGTGAAAAAACAGTGAAATCCGAAGTTCTACAAGACGCAACTGTACCGCAGAATCAAACAGGAAGTCTTTTCAACGCAGATTAGAATATGATAATCAATGGTTATACTTAACGTAATGTAGACTGAGGTAAAAATGTAAAGTAACAAAAAATGGTAGGCATTAGGCATCTTATGTTACTCTATTGATGTTCTTCACATGGGTTCACAATCGTCAAGATAATTTAGGGCAGGTTTTGGAAGTTGAAAGAGTGCATTGATTTACATATTCCACCAGTGTATACTACTCGATTTAACTGAAAGTTGTGCCTGTGCGAATATAACATGTGTCCATGATGCCTCTAACCACTTATGCTTACAACTATATGCATGTCCATTACCACCTTTAGATGTCAGAGTTGCCACATCTTGGACTGTTGCTGCAGGTTATGGGATTTCCTTTTCCAACATTGAATAATGTTGAAAATATAAAATTTCAGAAATAATTATGAGTTGAAGTTGATTTTATGTTTAAGAATAAATAGTTTTTTAAGGTTAATGGAGTTTATTTTCATTCCTTCTAAGTTCTAAGGAAATTACAACAATAATAATTGTCAAACGTTTGGCAACCCTGTCGAGTTTGTACTATAGTCCGAAGCAACAATACTTGCACAACACTTGTTGCACTTTTCTTATGACAGAGAACATTCAGGTAGGGAGTTAACATGTAAACCACAAAACAGAAACCACATGAGCTCAAAAGTAAACCACAAAAAAATGCTGCATACCAAGCAAGCATAAACACAAACAAGAAAACAGCAAATCCAGAATATTCCCTCCAACCACTATGTTCTTTTTTTTTGTTTTAAACATATTTCCCAAGTAACATGCGTGTTTAGTTATGAATGTGCTGGAACAAAGCTAATACAGTCAGGTTAGACCTTTTGAATAAAATGAAGACTGCATAGTCAAAATAACCTCTTAAAATTGCGTATTAATATCGTTTCTAGCATGACGCATGAAAATGAAACAGTCTATGAGCTCTGATAATTACAAAAATGGTAATACGAGATTCTATGGGAGTAATCACTTATCTTTTGCATATATTAAGCTTAAAAATGAGCAACGTAATCTCCGTAATCTCGTGGAAGGCCATTAAAAATATATATTACGTGAGTACAGCTGGAGAAGAATGGAATATTTTATTGGCAGATCCGAAATAAGCAGGTACTAGGTACCAGTTTTTTTTTAATCTCCAGGTCTGATAAGAGAACATGCCTCGGAATAAAGCAGCGAGAACCCACTATATACAATACAGGGTGAATCAAAAAGCATTGGCAGTATCTTCAAAGCTGAAAGTAGAACTCGTATAAAATCAAAAAACTAGTGATACCTATATGGACAGCTGTTTTGTGCTATTGGGCAACTCCTCATCATGGTGTAGGCTTGGTCTCAGTGGAGAATGAACGAAAACCGAGAAATCTACTCTACTCAGAGTATAAGGTTTATTAATATAAGACAGAAGGCAGAACCAGAACCAACCACTGCGAAACTGAAAACACCAAGCTGACTGTTGGAACTGTATCCCAGTTTGCATTGACAGCCACAGTGGTGATTTTTAAATCAAAAATACTGTTTTTCACTGATTATCATTCTACTCTATGGACTTATTTCAAGATACACGGATTTTCGTAGTCTCCAAATAATGAGTATACTAGAGGGTACAGCAGTTGATTTAATACCGTTCACGCTGCATATCCAACGTATATTTGTCTAGAATTGTGCAGCAAGTTGGTGGTTTCACCCCATCGAAAGTCAAAAGCAATACATTTTATATGATTTATAAACGCCATGCATCATTTAATATTTATATTTAAAATATTGAACAAATAATAAAACCCAATAAAAAGTAAAAGAGAAAAAATATTTTTATCTTACAATTAAAATTTTGTCTTTTTAGCTTTAACAGCTGCAAATTCAGAAAGAACTTCATCAAAATTTATATTTTGTATTGCCTCATGTTCTATGGCTAATATACCAAGATTACTATGCTGCGATTGATTTATTAATTTTAGTTTACTGAAACTCCTTTCACATGAAGCTACGGATACGCAAACCGACATGAATAATTTTAGAGCAATCATAAGATTTGGAAGAGATTCTGTAAAATCCTATTCTACAATAAATTTTAAAAAATCTAGAGATACCCAATCAGAAACCTCGTATTAAAAATCAGTAAATTTGAATGTTTCTCATTTCATTCATAACATATTTGTTTGAATGATGGCAAACAATGAAGCTAGGTCTTGAGTTCGTCCCTAAGACGGCCAAGACATTCCATTCATAACTTTTTAAAGTTCTACTTTAAGTGTGAGTCCTGCGTCACTGGCCATCTCACCAACCACACGTTTTTTGCAAGGAAGTCGACTTTCTGTTGGAATATATTCTTCTGATTTTGGGGGATCCCCGAATTATAGATAGAGCTGAGGTAGTGCTTGTATATATATATCACCCTGTATATATGTATGCGCGCGGGTTCTTATGTTTTTGTGTGGTG